GTTTGGGAAAATAGTCCCGTAGCCCTGTGAGGTTGGGAAGCGTCTCTCGAGGGCCGAGGCGATGAGACTGCGGGATTGGAGTGTGAAGTCTTCATGGTATGCAGCCCAGCACAGAGCGGCAGTTACCTTGTATCGCAATAGATATCGTTACCAATGGCTAGAATTGGAATACGGCGGTAAGTGACGCCAAGGAGGTCGGTGATTTCAGGGCGAGGCAGCATGTTTGCAACCTATTGAACCCAGGTCTTGAAGACCGCCAGATGCACTCTCATTTCACACACATTAACTTTCTCGTGGGGTATGTTTTTGAGGAGCAGAATATTGTCGATCTACGGGGCCATGAGATGCGCATGGGCCGAGGAGGAGTGGACGCATTACCTTGACGCTGAATGGCGAGGCATCATAACTGGGATTCTCAACTGTTAAGTTGCCCACCGAGCACCAAAGCACTACAACTACTCACCGATAGAGAATAACGGACATGGTGGGTCGGAAAAGAGTGAACCGGTTGCCGGAAGTTACTTTACCATGTGCACAAAAATAGTATATGTTTATGGGATTCCAGCTCGCACCGGGGCAACCAAAGCAGCGCAGGTTAATTGTAATGCCGAACGAAGCCTGCCAAAGCACACGAGTGCTGCTTTCAAGTTCGAATCACCGGCCGGATAATACCGAGTCTGCCGAAACGGTCTCAAGATAGACATTTTGTTTCCTCGAAAAATTGTGCAAAATATCCACAATCCACCTCAGTTATATAGCAGGTAATACAAGGGGTATCCCAATATCATCCTCATAAACCCCATAGTAGTATGAAAACCACCAAAACCTCGGCATAATCAGTTGGGAGCGAAGGGCTGCCCGCGGAAAGCCTCCGAATTCGAATAATCGCCGCCATCGTCTTGCTGCAATCCCAAAACACATTAGAAAAAAAGGTAGTAAGGAGTTGAGCCTGCCTACCTTTTTGCTGGTACCCATCTCGATTTCCGATGTTGTAGCGTCCACCGTCACAATCGCCGACCGTTGTACGTCTGAGCCCACCATCAGTTATCGTTTGCAGCAGGAGATGCAGGAGACATACGGATTCCGTTAATGACGATGCTAGTGTTCGGAACGTTTGTGTTGTTGTTCCTGCTCGACGACCAAGTCCTGCTCCCCGATTTGCCGTTTCCGCGCAAATTGAAGTTGGAGAGCAAAGTGAGGAGGTAGAGGGGGCTGAGGAGGAAGAAGAAGACAGCGGGAACTGGGGTTTGAGAGTAAGCTCGAGTTACTTTGTTAGCTTTGAGGGAACGTACCGTTACTCTGAATCTTGAAGATGGTTGCGATCATGCCCGCAATCGCACAAACGCTAGTGGCCAAACCATTCTGAATCGAGATGACACTGACATGGCGGATAAGTCTGTGAACAGAATGGTCAGTGATCACATTCGCTGGGCAAATAATCCACCCACCGGTTAGTGTCTTTGAAACTCGTCTTCATGGTTCGCAGTGTCCAGACGAGGCATGCGGCAATGGCGACATCTAATCACAATGGCTGAGCCCTTTATATCACGTCTAAAATGCAAGCATAACACACCGGCGACCACGACCGCTATGACCCAGATGTAAACGATAGCCTTGACCTTGTCGAACTGCATTTGCGGTTATTGAAAGTCTCGTAACGGCAGGAGAGAATTGCCTACATTTTCGATCCCCGGGAAGAGAAAAACAGCAAGTAAAGCCATAACAAACTGTAGGAGAACAGTCGGGTCAAGACGCGGTCAACAAAAAAACCACATACTGCAAAAAGAGTGATCAAGGCCAAAAGGAGCGACACGAAGATGTTTTTGGATCTAGAGACGGTTGAGCCAAAGGTTCCAGCAGACGAGGAGGGGACGACTTACACAGAGTAGAAACGGGATATAAGATATGAATCAACGATCAGTGCTTGCATTGCGTTAGCCACGCTATACATCGGGACAGCCCAAGTTTCCGTTAAGAGGGCGCCAGGGTTTCCCCAGAAGGTGACGCATGGCTACGGAAACAACCAAGTTAGAACTCGAAAATAAAAGGAAGAAAAAAAGCAAGACGCACGAAATAGACGTCCGCATAGGCCCCGACCAATCCGACAAGTGAAAACAGAATACTGGCAATCACAAGAGCCTTCCTGATCCAGCTGTCGTTTGGGAAGTTGGAGAAGTACGTGAAAGCCTGTGCATAGGCTATTCCGCAGAGAATTGACGCCAGCCAAGAGCCGATCAGTGAAGTACTATTTTGCGATTAGTACGTCGGTCCAGGGAGAGAAAAACGCGTCAACGCACCCAAATCCAAGATCCAGAGCACCCATATTTGCGCAAGGAAAACGAGTTTGGAGGTGCAGAGGGAGGAGAAGAGCTTATGGACTTGTTGCGTCTCGATACTTTTGAGTGGAGTACGAGAGGGGAGCAATGAATAGGTTCCTGTCTAACATTCTCGTCAAAGATAGGGGGCACACAACGAATTGAGTCCTTTGTTGAGGAGATACAGGAGAACAGGAGAGCCGTGTTCTAGACAATCCAGTTCAGGAGAATTGTGTCAAGCACTGAGAAAGAATCCGTTCAAGTGGATAGGTTGTCGTAAGTCACAGAGTGCGCGCCACTGCGCTTGAGGAGGCGGCAGATTGAGAATAACAGCAAGTGAGCGTTGGAGTAATGTTTTGGTCAGTGTCTTGGCATCGACCACCCTGGAAGCGGTCCATCTACAATGTGCAGGAAGCACACAGGAGGTACCCCAGGGGATGCCTCCTCTGATCGGCTTCGATCTTGCTGGTCATCGGCCAAGTATCTGAGGCGAATACAAGTCAGACGTCACAACAAGCAGGTCTTCTTTATTTGACATGATATTTCAGAACAATACATGGACAGGAACCTGATTTCTGGTAAGCCACATTGGTTCCACAACCAAGAAAACATATCACAAGAAGTAAGCGAATATCGAATAATCACACCAGTGAATCGTGATCTTTCCGGTTTGACCATATCGCCCACTGCTTTTTATCAGACTTGAAGCGTCCCCAAAGCTAGGGGATAATCAGATGACGCCCACAAGCGACTTGGAACACGCAATGCTCACATATTCGATGAAACTTTCCTCTTTCATAGCTTCGAGCAGCCTATTCGGATCGTTCTCGAGCTCCGCGTCGTCCTCGCATAGGCTCTGGATCTTCTCGTTCACCTTGACGGATAAGGTGTACAAGTAGTGTCGCACGTCGTGGCTGTACCATCCGTAAGTTATTTATTTCGAAAAGGATTGGGAAGGAGGACGAACTAGGCCAAGGCACGGTTAAAACACCGTTGTCCGATGACGAGCTGGAAGCCGGGCGGGTACGGCAAGTTGCGCGCCTCCGCGTTGTTCTCGAACTGCGTCGCCTTGCCGTACTTGATTTTCTTCTCTGGCTTGGCCTGCAAACGCAAAAATATACATACACGTCGTCGACTTTCGTTCTAGGAAAGATACGGACCTCGAACGTGTCGTGGTCGTAGATACCCTTCTGCGTAGAGATGGTGTACGCCTCGACGAGATCGCACGCGTACATGCCGCGGGTCCAGCAGGCGTGGCAGTCACCAGTACTTTCGGTCGCAAGGCCGTCTGCCAGGACGGGCCGCAGGTTCAACGTAGCAATGAACGGCGCCTTCCACGTCGAGAGTGTCATCGAATCTGCGAGGGGGTCGAGGTGGCGCCGCATAGCTTTTACCGCCGTGTCGAAGTATTCCTCTTAATGAAGTGGGTTAACGAAGGGTTGAAACAGAGAGATGGGACACCTACTCTCGTCCTCGGTCGCGGTCGAGAGATAGTCGGGATCGGAATGGAGCGCGATGATGTACTCGACGAACACAGCAAAATGTTCGTCGAGTTGGCGGCTCGAGTAGCGCATGCGGTCAAGAGCGGCGTTCGCGTCGGCGTCCCCATCGTCCTCGTCGACGATGAAGGTATCCTCTGCGTCGTCCGCCTCCCCTTCTTCCTCTTCTTCAGCGACGTCCTCTAATCCACCCTCCTCCGCATCTGAGAACGGGGTGAACTCCCTCTCTTTCTCTTCGGTACCGGCGTCGGCCGGGACAGGTGCAGGCGAGGACTTGTTCTTCCGGGCCTTGGCGTACCGCGCAAGTGCGCTCGACCTGAGATCCTTCTTGGTCGGCTTGAAGGAAGTCGGCTGGACGGGTACTAAGGAAGATCACGGCTTGAATCAGTAGAGAACGAATCAACACACGCTCAAGATCCTCTGGATCCTCATCGGAGTCTAGTTCCAATAGCGTCGATCCCTTGACGCCATCGTCGGAATCAGACTTGCGATGCAGCCTCCCTTTCGGCGGAGAGTCGCTCTCCGCATCCATAGGCGAAGGCGAAGGCTTTCGGACGCGTCGCAGCCGTTTCGGCCCTTCATCCTCCTCATCCGAATCTGACTGCACCTTACGCTGAATCCGGCGCTTGCGCGACGAACCCACCGCGTCCGACGCGTCAGAGTCAGAGTCTCGGCTTGCCACCACCTTCTTCTTCTTTTTCGGGGGTGGTGAGGAGTCGGACTCTTCCAATGAGGGTTTCAGCTTCCGTCCCTTGCGCGGTGCGACGACCTGAACGACGGCGTCGCTCATGTCTGAATCATCTTGCACCACGTTGATTACGGGGATTGTGGTTTGCTTCGCGACGCGACGTGTCCTTTTCTTCGGTGGGGAGGTCGGTGAGGTTGCATCTGCGCCTCCGCGTTTGCGTTTCGTATAGACCATTTTGAAGGTGCGGTTCGGAAGATGTGCCGGTCAGTTGTTTAGTCGAGTTGCACGCCTCTCGTCGGCCTAGCCAATTAGCTACAAAGATTTGATTGCCCATATCCCTCTTAGCTCAGTTGGTAGAGCGCGTCACTAGTATAAAGGATAGTCTCCAAAATTTATGACGAGGTCAGTCGTTCAAATCGGCTAGCGGGAATCCCTTTTGTTTCACGTCTTTTTACCGAGCTTTACTCTATACCTGCTCTATACCCTCGCCATTTCAAGTCCCTCTTAGCTCAGTTGGTAGAGCGCGTCACTAGTATGCCTACACCTGAGCGAAGTTTATGACGAGGTCAGTCGTTCAAGTCGGCTAGCGGGAATCGTTTTACCCCCTCCAAGGGATACTGCGATGTAAATCAACGAGCTCACCCACAGCCATTTGACGGACCACAAAGGACTAGCCTTCACGCTGTTCAATGCTCTCTTCTTTCCCGGGCGGATCTCTAACACGCCTGACAATGCAAATGAGCGGGTTCGACGTTGTCGTGGATCCACAGCTTTGCGCAGTGTGGTGCTGTAGTGGTGCTGTCGAAGCCTCAGACTGACATGAAAGGGTGCCAGCGGGCCATCGACGTCCTGTTCCGCTTCGGTGGCCAAAAGCGCGCGTCACTGTTGGAGCGTACTTACCTGAGACTGCTCGACTTGAACTCCATTCCACGAGGCGGCCCAAGAGTGCTTGTAATCCTTCCGAGTTGGTAGCAAGTTCGACAGCTACTTTTGGGTCGGCGGTACAGTACTTGCTCGCGCAATGAGTCAATCAAGGCCTTGTCCTGGATGGAATGCACGGCTGGTTGCCAGCAGCGGGCGGACCAACTGCAAAACGGTCAGGGATCCCTCCATTCTTCGGTTCAAATCATCCAAGGATCTTCACAGCTCTCCAAGCATAATGACGAGGCATTGAGCTCCGCAGTTTGACTTACCGACTCACCGACTGGATCAGGCTTGCCACTTCTAATCCGATGCGCACACACTCAAGCTCAGCTTGGATAACGATGCGGCCGGCTTGTGCAAGAAGCTTAAGTGGAGTATCCTTCTCGATGTTCATTCTCGCTGATATGTGGAACCGATCGCCCTGCTCTCGGTCGGATGTCGACCTCCATTTTATTTCATGGCCTTGGACATGGAGTCACTCAAGATATCCTTCTGATTTCGTCTGGACTCCTCGACAGCTGATAGGACCAAGGTCAACCCTTTCGTTCAGGACTGAATTGATTCTCTTGAGGCTGGATCAGGTCTGCAGTTACCTTTTTCGACTTTCAGTTACTCTCCTTGACGAAACAAGCTGGTAACGGTTTTACTGAAGCAATTAATTTCTACCCACCGCGAGCGCTCGCAGGAGATTCCGAGGCAAGTTCTCTGACATTCCAAAATCAATTAATACTGTGCCGCATTCCGTTCCCGCGCGCTGCAGTTCTCACTCGAATATCATTCTTCTACCCTTGAATTTTTGCCTGACGACAAATTCATCGATGTTGACGCTCCAGGCACTGTCTCACTCGTATATCGAAACTCTCCATTCTTTATTTCAACAGCCACACCGCCACTGCTCAGGTGCAGATCATGATAACGGATCTCAACCATGTTCAACTTCCCAACCTTCCTTTCTTTGGCTTCGAGTCGTTCACCGTCGGCGATCCGCTTACGCTGGGGTCCTGGTCGTGTGCCCACTCTGCGGAATTTGTTGTCAGTGAGCCCTGAGCCCTTTCCCTTCTCATTAACTGCTCTCGCCGTCGGGCGGAGCGGGGTGTCAGATGGTCTCCGCGCCAAGCCAGGTCCTGAAAACAGCTGTAGCGGTGGCGGTGGCGGAGGCGCAGTGCGGGGTGAATAGGCTTTCGTGCGACGGTATCTGACGGTAAGGGGGATTTAACCTCTTTCTCGTTATTGCCAAGTCGCCAAGTTGAACAGGAACTTGAACACGAAAGATCAACCGCTCGTTCAATTTCTTCTGGCCTGTAGTCTCTCGGTCTGATCGTTTTTCGATTCAAGGTGGAAACTTCAGTATGTTGCGGAACGCGGGACGCCCAACAAATCGATTTCTCATGTCGGCGCAGATTTTCACAGGTTAGTACGGTCCGCACCGGCTTGGCGGTGACTCACTGCAGTGCCAGTCGTAAGTTACTGATTTTCATCTGAAGGTTCTGAGCGTTAATAAAACAGCGCCGCGCTGATGGGAACGGCATGTGCGGTCTGGAATCGGAGCAGAAGCTGCGGCTGCGGTGATGTTCACCGTACGTTATCGGTGTTCACTTAATGCGAACGTCGGCGTCCAAAACAATTTGGCGAGTTGGGGGTGCTGTAAGTACAACTTTGTCGGCGTTCAAGTTATCGAGTGGTACATATCTTCCTCGCAAAATAAAACTTGGGGTGAGTAGGACCCCGAAAGCTGTGCGAATTAACGCGTTCGTTCATCTTCGAACGGTGCTATGCACGTTCGCCATCGCCCCTGAGGCCTGGGCCGTCGCACGACGTGTCGGAAAATTAATTTCGCCCGTTCTAGGTTCCCAGGTGTTATCTGCATATCCCTTTCGTTATCAACGTGGTTGGCTTTCTGATAGCACTGTCTCTCGAGCTGCTTGGTATTAAAACCACGTCGAGGAACGTTCGCCGGTTCCTTGCCCAAAAAGTCTAAACTGCACGCAATCCTGGCAAGGGTGACGAGACGTTCCGTCGGACACCGTCGATGCCCGGGGCTCATCAGAGACTCCGAAATTAAGGAACCTTCGTTTGTGGGTCCAGGCTCCACGAGGTGAGTCCACAGTGGTGCGATCGACGCCTGGGAGGTGGTGATGCGAGATTCGATCCTCGGTTGGGTCGAGCATCAGAAAGATTGAAAATTCGGATTTTGTTGGACCACCTGGTTTGTGGGTCCAACAGGGGAATTCCATCGCTGGTAAACTCGGAAAGGTTTTGACCGGCTTCAGGCTCTTGTTTACATGGTCTAGGCACAAATCGAAAAAGAAAAAAAACAAGACAAGGACGCCTGAAGTATGCCACGGCTCGGTGATACCGGCGAACTTCCTACTTCATTTCACCTTTTTAAGACTTCTGTCAGCCAATACAGTCAGACACATATACACGCCACAGACCGAGCGAGGAAACGCCGGGTGTCGCCAGTGGCGATGATCATGATACTCCCGAAGTGCAAGGATTGAAGAAATAGTTGGAAGCACGTTCGACGCGCAGAACATATTCCTACAGAACCACGTTCGATGTTCAGCCGTACGAGGATACTTGCGGGAACAAAAAGAACCGCAGAGATACCGCGACCCTGTGGCTGGGTGGCGGAACGCCAAGAACGGGACGGTAAGTATGTTGTGGAGTATCATAATTTCGTCGCCTGTACATATGTCGAAGATAAGCGAACGCGCTGTTCAAGTTGACGAAGATACCAAATTTGAGACAGGCGCGTCGAGCGTCGAAAGGCCCCCGAGCCGAATTGTCCTCTGAAGTTTTAAACAAGGGGACGGACGCCACCACATCGATATCAGACCAGAACGTTGTTTTAATTTCCGTCGAAGAAGCCACCGCAGGCCACCGCGCACAACTCGGGAAACTTGAGCCCGACAATGGGGTGGGATTAGGTTCTGCTGTCATCCGGAACCGGTGATCTACAGAACAGAACATTACATCGATGTGGCGGGATGAGAATCTGGATCTAGATGGGAAGATGCGCGGTGTTGGCCCCGGCGTAGCACCAGCACGGCGCACGTTCGATCCAGCATCGATATCATTGTCGTCGTGTAGCACGTAGATCTGAACCCCGAGTGCCCCGTGGACTATACTTACCTCCCGAGAGATATGATATCTGAGCGGACAAAAATGAGATGATAGCATGCATGTACCACGCTTCCACGGCGATAATCGCGGTTCTATTCCGTTCGAAGTGTGATATAGATTATAAGTATGACATACATACTTACCGAAGTCTCCGAAACGCAGGATTTGCTTCCGCAGCGAGAAAACGTGTCGACTATGATTTGATCCACGCTCTTATCGATAGCCCGAGTCGATGGATACATAGTCAAAAGTGTACGTAGGGACCAGGGTAGGCTGATGGATGGGCGATGGATCGCTAGCGCTGTTGGCCCCGGCGTAGAGTTGAGAGTGGGTATCATATTGCGCACACAGACTCCGATTAGTGGAATTGAGAAAGCCACGTTTGCTCGCTTGGGGTGCTGTTATCGCCTACCGCTTGGATGGAAGCGGGCCCGGGACCTAAGCGACCTGCGGGATACTCCGAGGGAGGTCTTGGCGCGATGAGAGTCTAAATGGCCACAGCCGAGTTTTTTTTTTGGGTGCTCTAATAAAATGCTGTAGATAGCGCAAATCGTTGATAATTGAAGTGAGGTGTTGGGGCCATGTTGGATACTTAAGTCAAAGACCATTTTCTGGTTGACCGTGCTGGGAGTATCTCTGCAGTGGCATGTCGCCGCGAAAAGGTAGGAAAAACTTGCTTCCCATAAATTGAACAACTCTGGTGATCGATCCGCGGCTATCACAGTATCCTGCCAAGATGCGTGCGTGCGCCGAAACAGACATACAAGGCGAATTGTGTCTCCGATGCATCTCTCCTCAGAACCTAAGCTTCGAGGTCTGAACTTTGAGTTAATCCGTGGTTGAGCCGCTGTAAAGACGTCCATCCGACTCCGAGGAGATGCTGGAAGGTGGGAAGGAAGGCAGTGTTGTGGCCACAGACAGACTGACAGAATTAAAGAAAGAGAGTATCCGAGGGCTGGCGGTTCGAAAAGGCAAATCGTACGCCGGGGATTCAGATCATGATGCATGGGAGGCTGTGTGGGCTGTATCCCTGTGTATTTTTGGAGAACTCTTGAAGAATTATTCAGCATCGCACGTTCGAATATGAGGTTATCGTAGGTGGGAAGGCCTGATGCGAATCCTGACTCGATTTTGGAATTTTGGTGGCCAGGCCTGGTCGAAATCCTGGCAAGATTTTGCGAGTATGTTGAGGTTGATTTGCATGAGATTCGTTAGCAGACACGATTACCTGGGCTGCTGGTAGTTGAGGCCTGCTGAGGCCGAGGACGTCCAGCGTGGGAGAATTTTCCGCAGCCAACACGGGCGGCCGCTTTCAAGACAGATGGACAAGGTTGTCAGGAGCCAGAGATCCGCGTTTGAAGAGTGCGCGCGAATGTCCGCCCCCAGCATGTATATTATAATTTACTTGATGTCGAGGCAGAATTTTGACTGATCAAGTACGGCGGGCCCATGAAGGCCCATGATTCTGTCGCGTCGGCGAATGCCGCCCGCCACGCGAGCGCGCCGACTAGTCCTGTTCCGGATCTCGGTCTAAGCGGTTAGCCAGATGGAACGCCGGGGATGTCTATGTAGGCGAGTATGTAAGTGCGCCTAGCCGGGTAGCCGCGTAGTAGTGAGTCACCAGGGCCAACACCTTGGCAAAGGTTGATGATAGTCAGCAAAGAGCGCAAAGTCGGGACGCACCCGACATACGCGCGTCGTGCGGCAGCGCACACTTGGGTATTACGGGAACGGAGGATATTGATGATCGGTGGCGTTGAATACAAGTTAGTACATTGCTACAGGAGTCCAACGGCGGAGGCCGTGGCGGGCTCCGACTGTGGAGTGCTGTTGTCAGTGTTGGCCAAGTGTGATGGACGGTATGGAAGTTCAAGCTGCCGACTTGAGGTGCATATATTGTGGCCTTTCTGGACCTCTGCAGGTCGGTGTAGAACTCAACAATGTAAATACCAGAGTGGGAATGCCCCGGCGAAGGAATACGTCAGCGATAGGGCTGAATACCGGATATTGCGCTTGGCGGACTCCTGACACCGCGATTCACTGATGCTACATGTAAATTCCATCTTTCATTTCGACGCTTGCTCTACGCTTGCTCTCTGCTACGATGCTGCTCTCCCCGCCGCAGTCCATCCTGCTCAGCCCGTCCACAAACTCCCTCTCCAGCTCTGCCAGCGCATCCAGCGACAGCGGCCGCTCCAGCTCCTCCTCTCACACTAGCCACAGCCACGCCAGCATGCAATTGCAGACCCGGCCTACAAAAATACGTTTCGCCCCGCTCCCCGACCCCCGCAGCCTCGATGACGACTATGTTGAGCTCACCGTCCCCGATGATGTGGCCAGCAGACCCCCGCCCTCGCCCATGCCGCACCTCCCGCCGTCGCCCGCCCCTGTCGCGTCCGCCCCGCTGCCCCCGCTGCCCCCTACACCTACACCCGCATCGACGTCTGCCGCATCCACACCCGCGCCCGCCCCGCCCTCCGCCTTCCACCCGCACAAAAGCGGCACCTGGCCCAAGCCCAAGAGCCTCCTGCGCCCGTTCCGCCGCGGCACCACCCCCGCGTCCTCGACAGACAGCCTCACACCCACGCCTTCGCTCGAGCCCGACCAGCCCACCGCGGGCGCCGGCCCCGGGTGGGGCGCATCCCTCCAGCGGTGGAGCAGCGGCGCCTCTGCGACGAACGGGAGCCCACTTGCCCGGACACAAAGCCAGGTCTCGACGACGAGCACCGGCGGGACGAAGAAGCGCGGCCGGTCGCTGTTTAGCATCGGTTCGTCGAGCAGCGGGGACAGTGAGGGCAGCGGGAAGAGTAAGAAACGGAGCAGCAGTGTTAACTCGACTAGTGCGGCGCGCGTCCCGCCCGCCCTGAACCCGTTTGCCAACTCGCTCGCGCTTAGCGAGAAGAAGCGGGGGACGCGCATGTTGAATGGGCGGGTGTACGGTGGGAGGGGCGCAAATGGTGAGTTTTTCTGTCCTCCGTCTTTGTTTCTGGGTCTCCTTTGTGCAGCTTTTCCCTGCATTTGTTGCCTGCTATCTCTGCGGGCTGGCCCGCCCACCCCTCGTCCCACTCTGGTGTCCCTTTTTTACGTCCCGCCTTGCTGCTTTCATTTCCTTTCATGGTTCTACTGGCTCTACTCGCTTCTCGGACGCGTTCTTTGGGGCTTTCACTGCCATATCCCTGTCCATATCCATATCCATACCCTACCCTTCCTTCTATTCTACCCGCCCGGAATTATGTTACCCGCATATCTCCACATCCCTGATCCCGTACATCCTACCCACCTCTCCGTGTTGACTCACTATATGATTATGACAACTGACTGATTATCTCTCCAGGTGCCAACCCCTTTGCGACCGCGCGCGACGACGAGCCCGAGTTTGTCGAGTGGGGGTACGGGGGGATGGGCAGCGTGAAGAACGGCCATGTCGCGTGGAAGGGCGTGCAGGGCGGAGGGGGTGAGTGTTTTTTTCCCTTGCTCTCTCTCTTGTTTTTCTTGTGGGGAATACGCTTTGCGGGTTTGTGTTTCTGGGGATGCGGGACGGACCTTTTTTTGCGACGACACTTCGGCTTCGATCCTTTCTGCGCGTCGCTTCTGGACGGGCTCGGTTTTCGACGCGCGGGGAGGGGTAGGAGAAGCGTGCTCCCATTCCCGCGTTTTGTATGGCCTTCGGCCCGCGCTCGCGTTTGGCCCTTTCTTATTTTGGATTTCTCTCCGTCTTAACCATGGTTTTGTTGTTGCGCGTTCTAACACCATGTTGCATGTAGGCTCGAAACCTGCTGCGAACGGCACCGCTTCCGCCGCTTCGACAAACGGAAAGGCGAACGGGCACACGGGCGCGGTGGGCATGGGCGTCGTGTCTTCCAACGGGGCGGACGACGATGACGACGGGAGCGGGATGGGGTGGGTGCGGCGGCGGAGGGAGGCGCGGGAGCGGGAGAAGAGGGAGAGGGAGGAGCGGGAGGCGGCGGAGGCGGCTGCTGCTGCTGCGTCGACTTCGGACAAGGAGAACGAGGGCGGGGAGGAGAAGAAAGAGGGGGATGAGGGTGGGGGTGGGGAGGGAGAGAAGGGCGGGGACAAGGGGGTACACGGACACGGGGAGGGAGAGGCGCAGGGTGGAGAAGGCGCAGGCGGGGAGGGGAGGGACGACGGGAGCGGGACGCCGACGCCGACGGCGGATAAGCCGGGGTTGACGGCGCTCGTTTCGCCTTCTTCATCCATGACTGCGTCTCCTCCGTCCACATCGCCCGCCCCCTCACCCCCCGCACCGGCACCACCCGCGCACGCCTCGTCCCCCGCGCACTCCGCCCCCGGCACACCCGCCGTCCCCGGCCTGCTGCCCCCCGCGCTCTCCACGAACAACTCGACCTCGGGGCACTCTACGGCGTCCAAGGACGAGGAGCATGTCTTGCGGGCGGTGAACCTGCCGGCTGGGTTCCGCGGGCACCATCACTCGCACTCGCACTCGCACGGGCATGCGCACGGCCATTCGCGGAGCGCGTCGAGCTCGGCGGGGGCGTTGGCGCTGGCGGCCGCGGGGCCTGAGGTGCCGGCGATTAGCGTTACGGGGGCGGGCGTGGGCGCGGGGTCGGGCTCGGGGTCGTCGAGCTCCAACTCCAACTCGGATTCGGACTCGGAGAGTGATTCGGACAGCGAGGATGAGGAGGAGAAGAAGCAGAAGGGGGGAGAGAAGGGTGCGCGGGGGCCGGGTGGAGAGGAAGAAGAAGAGGAGGACGACGATGACGACGACGATGATGAGGACGAGGAGGAGGCGGAGAAGCGGCGGGTGACGGCGTTGGGGGCGGGGGTGGAGAAGATTAGCCGGCACAAGGAGTAATGCGCTCTGGGCGCAAGCGACTCCGACCGGCTGATCTCTGCAGACGTACACACCTGGGGCAGACGCATACGCACACACAAGAGGAGAGGAGACCCGCTCGTTTCTTCATCCACATGGACACGCACCTGCTGCCTCGCGTCGCCTTACCTCCGCTTTAAAACCGCACGGACGTGGAGGTGGGTGGGCTCCCTCAACCCACACATCCCTCCGGAGCGCCGACACTGCCCCTGCCCCTCCCCATCCATCCCTATCCTAGCCCACACGATCGACTGCGAATATACCGCGCAAGATACCGACCGACACCGATACCACATACCACATACCACCTGCTTGATTTTGGAGCTGAAGCACCCCACACACCCCACTCGAGAAAAAGAGTAGTTTATATTCGTTTTATTGGTGCGCACGCTCCCTCCCTCGCCGCCCCGCGAAAGAATCTGAATCTGAGCTGTTTCTCGTAGCTGCCCTCCCATACATACACACCACACACCTGCATACATAGCATACCTGCACTCTGCCCGTCCCGCCGCTAGCCTACATCGTTTTAGTCCTTGGTCCTATCCCCTTTCTTAGTTTCTTTCGTTTTGGGTATTGGGTTTCTGGTCATCTCATCTCGTTTCGTTTCTTCTGCCCCTTGAACTTTTCGTGAATTTTGAGTCTTTGTCAATGTATGTACAACTACACAATACAATACACTACTACGTCTGGAGATCTGAAGTCTGCGGCGACCTCAAACGCTTCGGATTATGGACGTAGAACAAAAAGGATTCCCGCTAGCCGATTTGAACGACTGACCTCGTCATAAACGAAACACCTCATGGCTTATACTAGTGACGCGCTCTACCAACTGAGCTAAGAGGGATTGTGCTGTATGAAATGGCGAGGGTATATCCATAGTAAAGCTCGCGGCAAAGAAGGGAGGAGGAAAAGAAAAAGGGATTCCCGCTAGCCGATTTGAACGACTGACCTCGTCATAGGATGCTTGGAAGCTCTAAGTATATACTAGTGACGCGCTCTACCAACTGAGCTAAGAGGGACTCATATTTCACGAAATGGCGAAGGTATAGAGTAAAGCTCCCGGGAAGAAGGGAAAAAGGAAAAGAGAGAAGTAATTCCCGCTAGCCGATTTGAACGACTAACCTCGTCATTAAACGGGACTTCTCGGAGCTTATACTAGTGACGCGCTCTACCAACTGAGCTAAGAGGGATGCATTGTGGGGGAAGAATAGGAGAACCTGGCCTTGGAAAGACTAAGGACTGCCTCACCGGTCCGCGCAAGCGAAATCTAAAAGCACAAGCAGAAAACATACATTGTCTACATAACGGTAATACAAGGTCCACTGAATCCCGTCCCGTCCACACACGCAAAGCCTCCCTCATAACCAACGATGCTCACCGAACGCACAAGTACCTGGCGGTAACCCAACTCGCGCCCGCGCGAGCTAAGAAGACCGCTATATGCACTACTGCGGGTCAGGCGTCCGCGGAGTGCGGCTTGGCTGCTCTCGTGCTGGTGCTGGTGCTGATGTAGACGGAGACGGAGGCACCGCGAGCGACACAGACCGGCTCACGTCCCGCGGGATGCGCGAAGACGACGAAGTTGCTGCGGCCACGCTGTTGGAACGAGATGCAGCGACGGGTGCGGTGCTGCTTTCTGTGGAACGGGAAGTGGAAGCGTCCCTGGAACGCGTACGCGAACGCGAAGCCGGCTGCTCCGATGACGAAGAGTCGGGCGGGGGGAGCGGGGGCTGCTTGCGTTTCAGCTTCGGTTTCGGTTTCGAGTTCGAGGGGTGTGGAAGGTTCTGTGGGTGGGCGGCGCTGCCGGGGCCGGGGGGCGCGGCGGCTTTGCCTTTGGTATTGGCATTGGCGTTGGGATTGGGATTGGGATTGGTATCGGCGGGGTCGGGGTCGGGGCGGGTCATGAAGCGCGCGGCGATGGGGAGGTGCGGGGGCGGGTGCTGGGGGCGCGGGGAGTGGACGTGCTCCGACGCCGCGCGCCGGCTGTGGCCTTTGCCTCGCAAGAACGACGACGCGGACCCGGTGCGGGGCGCCGCCGCGGATGTGGACGCGGAGCGCGAGTGGAGCGCGGCCGCGCGCGGGTGATCTTTCGGGGGCGGGGGCGGGACGTCGGACGTGGAGGAGCGCGTTTTCGACCCGCCCGTGGACCGCGCGCGCCTGAGCTTGGAGGGCTTGGGGCTGGCGGCAGCGGGGATCGCGCTGTCGGCAGGCAACAGAAAGCTGAGCGGGCGCTCGACCAGGACGGGCTCCTCGTCGTCGCTGCCCGTGCCCGTGCCGGAGCTGCTCTGGTCCCGGCGCCGCCTCACGCCGGTCAGCGATCGCCCCAGGCTGCGAAGCGCGCGCGGCACGTCGGGCAGCGTCATTCGCCGTTCCTTTCGCGGCCTGGACGACTCCGGATCTAGTAGGTTAGGTGAATCGCTGCTCTAAAACGCGCGCGCAATCAACACACCATCGGCGACGACCAGGACGCGTTTGGGCGTTGTCACGTCCGTCCCTGCGGGGTACATCGGGCCATACTGCGAGCCCGGGACGCCGGTGTACGTCCCGCTGCGGTCGCGGAAGGAGTAGCACCCCGTGTCCGCGTCGTATCCCGTGCGGACCATCCCCTCGGGAAGACGATAGGCGTCCTCGTCGTATTGCGTCCAGCGTCCCATTGTGGAGGAGAGGAAAGAATATTAAACTGAGGTGTAAAGGTTGAGTTTAAATGAGATGGTCGTGGTGCACAATCATCGCTCACAGCTGACTACTGCGCAGTTTAGCGAGGCATTCGATGGCATTCGCCGACAAGCGTCTTGAACCTGGAATGCAGGCTGCAGCCCTCAGGAATTCATTTTTGAACTCGAGAAGCAGGGAAAATATGGTGAAGCAGTCTGAGTCGAGTCTGGTTGAATTAAAATCTAAATAATTTAGTAAATGGAACTTAAGCGCACTTTCCCCACTTCGTTTGTCTTTATTTGCACGCTGAAAAATCTCTAATGACTTTCGATTCTCGGCGACTGGTGGGGATCAAGGCAGAGCGCGTAACGGATGTGTCGAGCAGAGACTTCCCCGGGCACTACCCCGGCGAGGACCACGCATGGAGCCTCGACAAATTCCGCGAGGTCCGTTCCATTGCAATCCGCACGCTCAAGATGTTCATTCGGTCAATCCGCAAGGGTAGAATCTGACAGTCAAAGTCCGCCGCGTCTCCAACCGCTCCATCGACTTTGACCTCGTCGGCGTCGACGCCTCCATCGCCAACGCCTTCAGGCGTATCATCATCGCAGAGGTCCCCACAATATGCATAGAGAACGTCTACGTCTACAACAACACCTCCGTCGTCGTCGACGAGATCCTCGCACAGCGCATCGGCCTCGTCCCCCTCAACGTCGACCCCAAGACCATGGACATGCGCGTCGCCGAGGACGAGTCCACCGACCGCAACACCCTCGTGTTCGACCTCAAGCTCGAGTGCACGCGCAAGAAGGACGCGCCGAAGGACGCGACCGACCCGGATCTGCTCTACGACAACCACGAGCTGCTCTCGGGCCACCTCGCGTGGCAGCCCGCGGGCGAGCAGGCCGAGGTCTTCAGCAAGAACCCGCCCGCGCCGACGAACCCGAACATCGTCCTCGCGAAGCTGCGCCCCGGGCAGGGCGTCGAGATCACGCTGCACGCCGTCAAGGGCGTGGGCAAGGACCACGCCAAGTTCAGCCCCGTCGGTGCGTGTTATTTCACGAACAACAACTCGAACTGACACCGCCCGCAGCCACCGCATCCTACCGCCTCCTCCCGCACATCGTCATCAAAAAGCCCATCCCGCCCCACCTCGCGGACAAGTTCCAGAAATGCTTCGCCCCCGGCGTCATCCGCGTCGACCCGCGCACAAAGGCCGTCACCGTCGACGAGGAGAACACCCGCAAGGACACCGTCAGCCGCGAGGTCCTCCGTTGGCCCGAGTTTGAGGGCCACGTCGAGCTGAGCCGCGTGCGGGATTTCTATTTGTGTGCGTCGTCCTCTCCGCTTTTTTCGTTTTCTCGTTTTCTTCGTTTTGGGCCTCTTTTTTCCTCTTCGAGCTCAACTTGCCCAATACTGACGACGTGCTTGCAGTCAACATCGAATCCGAAAGCGCGTACCCCCCACAACGCCTCTTCCCAGAAGCCATCGCCATCATGCGCGAAAAGCTCGCCACCATCCGCCGCGCCGCCGAGGCGCTGCTCGACCAGCCCCCCGCTGCAGACGCGGACGTGTCCATGGCGGACGCGTAGCGCGCAGCGCGGAGGACGTGGTTATGGTCATGGTCATCGCCGGCGATTGTATCATACATACATACGGTTGTATACAGTATCCCAAGTATGCATACATAAAAAAGTATAGTATAATAATTCCAGCCCAGGCCAGGCTATGGCTATGGCTCCGCAGCCGAGACGCCCGACCCCTCCTTGCCGTGCGCGCCGCCCGTACTACTCCCTCCATCATCCCGCCCATGGCCATGGTACCCGTACCCGTACCCCCAATCCGCGGTGCCGCCCGTCCCGACGGTGTCCGCATCCGCATCACCCGCCTTGAGCCGCCACGCGGGATAGTCGGGCTCGGACAAGGACAAAGTGCCCCCTTTGAGCGCGACGCGCAGCAGCTCGCGCGGCGCGTCCGCGCCGCCCCCGACGGTGCTCGTGCTGGCGTGCACCGCGGCGAAGGGCGACGACTTGGGGTTGGGCGCGGTCGAGGCGTCGGGTCGGCGGCAGAAGACAAAGTCGATGATGGGCTGCGGGGCGCGGTTTTTGGTAGGTGTTATGATTTAGTGTAAAGTATGAAGTATGATAAGTGTCGTAGCATAACATAAGAAAGGGGGAGTGCGGCGGCGCGCACCTTGGCTGTGGAGAATATGAAGAACACCGCGACGGCGCAGGAGGAGAGGACGACGTCGGGGACGATGGCGGAGAAGGTGGAGACGAGGGAGAGGATGCCGACTCTGCAGTGCGGGGAAGTAAGCCTCTGCCAGTTCCGCTTAGTACAGAAAAGGATCGACGCACACAAAAGCGACGCTGACGAAAATCGAGAAAAACAGCGTCCGGCAGACGAAGGAGTATGAGACGCCGGGGTATTCGATGATGCGGCGGACGCGCCGGCGGGTGGTGACTAGATTTATCGTCGTCCAGACGGAGAGGACGAGGCAGGAGAAGGTGTAGGCCGCACCGAACGCCGAGGCGGTGTTTTGACTAGCGTATGGATATGTATGATTAGCTTGGGCGAAGGAGGAATGAGCGGTGGCGCGTACACTCCTGGGTTCTCCACTACGCAGTATAGCGGCGAGCCGCGGTAGACCTTTGAGGGGTCACGCGTGCCAATCTATTCGAAGTTAGATCGCATCCAAAGCAAAGCAAAGAACTCGAAAACGCACAATAAGTCCGGCGATGAACAGAGGGAGTCCCGAGAGGTAGGGAAGCGCTAGGAGCTGCATACGACTCTTCATTTAGAGGCAGTCCCAATCGCAATTATCGCGCCTCAACGAAAACGACGCACAAACGGCTTCCAGATAATCCACTGCACGACGCCGCGCGTGCGGATGTGGCACGCAATCATCACGCTGCCCCACACCTTCAGCACGACCGCGAGCGCGGCGCCCGCCATGAGCGGCACGTTCGCCATCCCGATCGCGGCGTTGAACAGGCACAGCGCGTACGGCGGGTGCGTGTCGAGCGCGTGCCCGGTCCAGACGAGGATGCTCCCGCTCACGGAGGTGAGGATGAATATGGCCTCGAGGTTGAGCAGCGCGCGGTCGGCGGCGCGGCGCTGGCTGACGAGGGTCACGAGCAGGAGCGCGGCGATGGCGAGCGCGGCGAAGATGTTGAAGGTGGACCAGACGATGAGGTGCGGGAGGTACTCGCGCGGGTTGGCGATCTCGGACATTGGGGAGGGAGGGAGGGCTGGGCATCGTCATCTCCGGAGTAGACACGAGGTATATCTAGCGCCCCTAGGGGCGTCTCAAACCTGTCCCCTGTTCATCTTACTGTACCCGTGGGCTACAAATCAAACGGCGTCAAGGGTTACCCGTCTTTCAGCCGTGTGTAACAGCGACCTGCGCACTTGTAGCGAGACAGCAGCCCCTACCTGCCACTGCGTGAATTTTTTGGTTAATATTTGCGCCGGTTCTCAGAAAGGAAGGAGGTGGTTGTAGTTCAAGATGATGCGATATTTGTTGGGATCATAT